GGGGGGGCAGGCCTAGGGGTTGTGGGCAGGCCTAGAGGTTGAGGGGGCAGGCCTAGGGAACGGGGGCAGGCCCAGGGCCCGAGACAAGAGGCGGGCCCAAGGCCCCGGGGCGGGCCGCGGCGCAAGGCGTGCTGGTCGGGGCTGAGTGTGGCGGTGCTGCGGCGATGGCTCCGAAGGGGAAAGGCGGCAAGGCGGGCAAGGGTGAGCGGGTCCGGGGAAGGGAGGCCTGCAGAGCGGCCCGGGTGCCGGTACCGGCGCTTGAAGGACTGGCCCGGTTTCATGGCGCTGTTTGCAGGCGGTGAGAGCGGCGAGGCAGGGGCCCGGGGCCCGAAGGGCGGCGGCAGCGCCGTGAAGGTGCGTACTGGTTCCCCCTCCTTGCTTTCGGGGCTGGCGGCCGTCGCAGCCCGTCACGGCCCCCTCCTGCCCCCCAGGTCCGGCACATCTTGTGCGAGAAGCACGGCAGAGCCATGGAAGCCATGGAGAAGCTGAAGGCCGGGGTGCGCTTCAGTGAGGTGGCCTCGCAGTACAGCGAGGACAAGGCCAGGCAAGGGGTAAGGCTGCTCCTGGCCGAGCGCTGCCCTGCGGCGGTGAGAGATCTGCAGCTTAACCTGGCCGTTCCTTCCTGCAGGGAGACTTGGGCTGGATGACCAGAGGCTCCATGGTGGGACCTTTCCAGGAGGCGGCATTTGCCCTGCCGGTGAGCAGCATGGACAAGCCGGTGTATACGGACCCCCCTGTCAAAACCAAGTTTGGGTACCATATTATTATGGTGGAAGGCAGGAAATAAAATGTGAATGACCGTTGAATTCATGGCTGCTTGAATTCTGAGCGTTTCCCAGGCACGTGGATGTAGGAGCACATTGGTCATAACCAGCAGGTGCTTGGAGACGGCCTGCCATCCCTGCAGGAAGTGCAGATCACAGCCAGCAGAGAACGGGGCCCTGCACAGAGAGGTAAAGTGCTCCCTGAAAAAGGTAAAGGTTGCGTGTAGGTATTGAAATCTGCATCAGCTTGTAGGCCAGCCCCTTGCTTTTCCTGCTACAGAGATGATGATATACAGCTGTGAAAGCTCAGGCTGCAAATACAGTCAACCTAGAAAGGGTGGGGGGTTCCCTAGAGCAATTGCTTTTATCCTCACCAGCAAGGATGCAGGCAGTTCAGACGCTACAGGTTCAGCTCCAGAGCTCAGACTTAAGAGCCTCCCATTGTAGAGGCCAGCTAATGCTACAGCTAGGGCTCAGGGTTGCTGCTGTGGGCAGGCTCCTTGTTCTTTCAGTCAGCAGCCTTTACCAAGGCTGGAGGCACAAAGCAGTAGGAGGAAGGGGGAAGGTGTAAGAGTAGCCCCTCCAAATACAAACTCATCTGTACCTTATCCACTCAAAGCTCAAGGAAGAAGTTGTGTAACTTAGGCTTGAATGAGAGAAGAAAAAGCTAGAGGAAGGCCACTAAATGCCTGTTGCTCCCTCAGTTCACCTACTGGTAGGCATGAAGTACGTGCCTAAAACTTAGTAAGGTGCACCTTGTCCTTCTGGTGAAACTGGATAAATGACAGTGTGACTGATGTGAATGAGATCCCTACCTCTGGCATCTCGGTAATAAACATCCCACTGCACCCATCTTCTGTCTGCTGAAAGACAAACTGGTGCTGTCTTTGCTGCTGGTGAGCTGGTGTGTCTGAGGGCTGAGGACAAAACATCAAATAGAACAACAGGTCTTCCCCCCATCAGAGACAATGAAGAGGTGAGGCTGAAATCAGGTCAGGTTTTTCTCCTGCTCTGCTTTAGGGGACATTTGTTTCATTTTATTGAGAGAACAGAAGGTCTGTACGAGCCAACCAGCGTTTGCAAAGCTCTAGCTCATTAATATTTTGTTATGTAAGGCAGACAGGCCTTTTTAGAGCATGAGAGCAGATGCAGCCCCATTTAAGTGATGCTTTATTAATAAACTACTTGTTTCCAGGCTACCAAGGCTTTGTTCTACACCTATTAGCAAAAGCACATTGGTACATCTCCTGTTTGCATTTGGCATGTCATCTAGTGCAAAGAACTCAAATTCCCATACCCAGGCCAAATTTAACTCATTGTGGTGGCAGAGGGGGAAGTCAGGCTAGCAAGGCATTGCTGAGAGCCAGGGTGAGGTTCTTGTAACTTTAAGCTTGAACTGCACTAGGAACTCATTTCAGGTTCATTGTGCTGATAGTACCTCATTAAAAAAATTTCCACAGCCTCAGTCAAATGTGGGAAGAGAGTGAGAGGGCCACCTCACCAGAGGAAAAGCAGCGCAAAACTTTAAAGCTGTTGTGTTTTCCTGCTGCCTCTGTGCAAGAGCAGGCTTTGATGGTACTGCTCAGAGGGAGAGATGAGAGGGAGACTGCAAGGTCGGACCAGAGCCACCTGTGAAGCCCTTGACTCCTCCAGAAATACCCAAAGGTTCAGAACGTTCAGCACCTTGCAGCAGTCAAGCTCTAACAGCTATTTCCAGTCCTCCTGCAATCTCCCAGCTACGTAACTCTTCTGCAGCAATAGCGGGATGGCAGGAGTTGGAGCACAAGGTTTTCTGTGATGCTGTGCTTTGGTGCTAGACCTGACACCAGGTAAGTGTTTGCTGCTATAAATCTTCCAAGTAATGGAGGCCAGCACGCCATCTCCCCCCCACCCCAGGATGTGCATTCTCAGACCAGATAAATCCAGGTGGTGGCAGTTCTGTTCTCTGCTTTACACCAAGCACTCGGTGTGCTCAAAAAGCAGGGCATGGTTCAGGTAGGGAAATGGACTTTATTTTACATTGAGAAGGGGAGGGACTGCAGCATTTGGAATTTAGACTGCAGTAAGCTGCTGTGGAACCACACCTTCAGCTTTGTGAGATTCTCTCCTGCCAGAAGAGAAACCGAAGGCTGGAAACACAAATCCAGAGCTGCATTTGGGTATAAAGATATGCATTTTAATTAAGTAAACAGGAATGTGAACTTTCATCTTAGTGAACTGAGTCCACAGTGAAACCCCTTTCCCAGCACCTAAAATGTGACTGTTTCTTACACGACAGGAGGAGTTGCTGGATTTGCTCACTAAGCACGACTGAAAGTTTCACAACATGAAAGAAATATAAATTGCAGCCATCAGTCTTAAGTTAAAAAAACAATCACTGTAGTTCAGACAAGTATTTTGTGAAAAAAGTTAAACTACTTAACAGAGGTACACATATTTCATAAGACTGTTCAAAGGTTTACGTTTCATTTCTGGGCTAGCTGTCTATACAAGTTTAGAGTCATAAGCATAATTTCAGGATCTCCACTTTTTATGTCAAGAGCTTGCAGGAAACAGTTCAGTGCCTCTTGTAGTTTTCCATTGTCCTTCAGGTTCTTCCCTCTGTCCACCAAGGTACTGTAATTACCTGAGGGGGCACAGAAACTCTGATCGACAGGGACGCTTTCCTGGGTGCAGTACTCCAGCTGCTCACCTGACTGAAGCTCTGCATCACCAGTGGATTCCTCCTGAGATGAGTTGGTCTCATCTTCAGACTGCGTACCCTCTGTACGGAAGGACTCTCCAGTTGAATTAAGTGTTTCTCCAGCAGGTTCTTCTTCAGGCTCAGCAGACTCCCCACTACACTCTTCTGCTGCTTCTTCTGCAAAGCCTTCTTGCTCCTCATCGCTGTTTTCTTCTTCATCTGTGCTTCCCATGATTTCACCAATATCCTCAACTTCATCCACCACCTTGTTGATGAGAGATCTCCTGGAAGCTGTAGACCTGTTACTGCTGTTAGTTAATTTGGGAGAAAAGATGGCTTTTGCTATACTTCTGTCATCCTTAGGAGTAGATGCACTAATTCCTTCTATAAATTGATGCAGAGGGCTGTTCAGGGGAGAGGACCTTTTATCAAACTGCTCTTCCTCCAGGTTTATAGCAAAACAGTCCTCGTCCTCACTATCTGAAACAATCCTTCTCTTGTGCTTCTTTCTACCTGAAACGAGGATGGCGCTGCCTTCCTCTGACGCTTTGCTCCCTTGCAAAGAATTATTTGGATCTTCTTCAGCTGTGTGACAGGGGTTTCCAGAGTTGCCATTCTCACTTAAGCAGGTTTTTGCTGGTGATTTACACAGACTTTCTGCTTTTAGTTGGAAGCCCTCATCTTCTGGGTGCTCCATTGATCTCTCCCCATTTGAGGCATCCTGCAATCCACCTTCAGACTCTTCCAGGACCAGATTGAAGTCAACTTGATCCTGGAGAGAAGGCACAGACATATCCTCCAAACTGGTTTCCACCACATGATACTTCTGGACCTCAGCATGGACTTCTGGTAAAACATCTGATAAATCTGGTGGTGGGGCAGACAAAGCTAGCTCAGAAACATCATTCTTCTCTGTGTCTGAGACAGCAAATGAGTCAAGTGCCTGATCTGCCATTTCTGTATCTCGTAACCTTTTGAGATCATCAGCCATAGCAGATTGGTTAGAAGAATGCTGAGAAGGCTCAGACAGGCCATTCCCAGCCTCAGTCAAGCTATCAGAATTTATGTGATAAAGAGAACATCGTTTCTGTTTAAGAATTTGAGTCTCTTTATCAAGTGGACCAAGTCCAGGTGATAGTGGTACACTGTTCAAGTCCAGATTTTGTTCAGATTCTTGTATATTGGGCTGTTCCATTTTCTTGCTGCTAGTAACTAGCTCTAAGTCCATACCAGATGTCTCTTGTGCCAGTTTCTCTTCACCTAACTCAATAGTCAGATTTGTCATCTTAGAGCTGACATCAAGAACCTGGACTTCCATGTCCTCTGTAAGATCAATAACTTTGTCATTTTCACCTTTGTCAGCTGCTGGCGGTGAAACAAAGTTATTGATATTGTTCAACCCAGGAGATCTCTTCTTTGACTGGGAAGCCAGTTCTGGTGGTCTTGACCACGTCTCCTCAGCAGCATTTCGGATCCCTTCCATCCTCACATCTCTAAGCTGAGACTCTAACTGAACCAGTTCGTGGGCCTTCTGCACCCTCTGTCGGATGTACTGATGGGCTTCCTCACTCTCAGCCTGCTCCTCGTGGGTCACTTCCCTTGTAAATATTAAGTCATGATCGGATATGCCAAACATTTCCAGAGAGTGCAAATAAGCAATGTGCTCATCCAGCTGCACATCGGTCTGTCTTTGGGTGGCATGCAAAGACTGCAGCTGGATCTGAGTTGTGGATGTTCGTGTATCTTCTAATGTGAAAAGCTCCCTTAGTTCCTGTTTGGAGAAATACCTGAATGGGTTCTTTTTGTCACCTGTAGTCTGTCTTATTAATGAATCCTTAAATACTTGCCGCCTATATATTTTCTCTTCCACTGTACCACAGGTAATTAGCCTGTAAATCACCACGTTCTCTTTCTGCCCAATCCTATAAGCTCTATCTACAGCCTGAGCATCTGTAGCTGGATTCCAGCTGGGATCAAAGATCACCACTCGGTTGGCTGCTGTTAAGGTGATACCAACGCCACCAACCTGTGTCGTCAGCAGAAACACAGAGTAGTCTCTGTTACTCTGGAAGGCACTGATGCGCTTCTCCCGTTCTGTTAGGTGGCTCACTGTTCCATCAATGCGCATGATCTTAAATCGTCTGCTAGACAAAACTCGCTCGATGATATCCAGCATTTTCCTCGACTGCGAGAACACCAGCGTTCGGTGCCCCTCCTCCCGCAGTCTCTCTAAGAGTCCTAAAAGAAATAGCATTTTCCCAGACTCCTGGATCAGGGTCTCATCAGACAGATGATCTATTTTGTTGGCACCTGAAAGTACAGCTGCTTCACTCCCGTGATCCTGCTCCAAGTGCTCCTGTCCATCTAAGTCCAGCTGGGTACATGCTCTTGCAGACAGAAGCCTGGGATGGTCACACAGCTTCTTCAGGACAGTCAGCTCAGCCAAAGGTGATCGGGTTGTTGTCAGCAATTCTTTCACGTGATCTAGACAGAGAAAGTTCCTGTAGATTTTTTCCTGCACTGGTGCCAAGTACACCCACACAACAAAGTCATTTTTCCTAGTAAGAGATGGCATGACAGGGGCACTAGGCTCACGTGGATCCTCAGGAAGAGGAGTGTCTGATTTCTCAGCGTGATTTTTTTTAATATCATCTTTAGTCCTTCTGAGGAAATATGGCTTTATAATTGTCATTAGGTTCTCAGATATCTTAAGTCCCAGCGCTTTCTCGCCTGCAGTTGCATCCTTCTCCCTGGCCCTAGTAATAGGATTTTCGTACTCCATTCTAAACGTTTTGGCTGTTCCTAAGAGAGAACCCTGGCATGCAAAGTCAAACAAGGACCACATTTCCTGCAGGTTGTTCTGCAGCGGCGTGCCTGTGAGGAGGAGACGATGCTTGGCAGGAATTGCATACACACACTTTGTTGTTTTGTTAGACGGGCACTTGATTTTGTGTGCTTCGTCAAGGATGATGTAGTCCCAGATAAAGTCCTGCCCGTGGCAGCTGGCAAGTTGCTTCCAGTTGTTAACGAGCATCTGGTAGCTTGTGATGACAATGCCATTCTTCCTCTGGATCTTCTCCAGGTTCCTGGTGCGCTCTGTCTTGCTCGTGCCATGGAACTCCTTGACACGCAGACCAGGGGTCCAGCGAGCAAACTCAGCCAGCCAGCTGCTGATCAGGGTGGTGGGCATGATGAGCAGGACGTGCCGGATGAGCTCACTGTCAAACATGCCTGAGAGGAAGGCGATGATCTGGATGGTCTTCCCCAGGCCCATATCATCAGCCAGGATCCCTCCAGGTCGACCCTCCCGGTGCAGGCGGTACAGGAAGGCAACTCCCTCCCGCTGGTGCTGGAAGAGCTTCCCGTGCATCTCCCCATAGAGCAGCAGGCCGCTGCCGCACACATCCACAAAGTTGCCATCATCGTCTTCCTCCTCTGCCGTGGCCGCTAGCTCTGCCAACGCTGCCTCCAGTCGTTGCATGCGGCCCTGTAGCTTCTCACTGGGGCGGATGGCGGCCGCCTGCCGGAACAGCTGCAGGGCCAGCTCCAGGTCCCCACTGCCCGCTGCCTCCTTGGCGTCGATCACCAGCCTGCAGGAGCACCGTTAGCACTGAGGTTGAGCCCCAGCCCCGCTCCTGCCCGCAGTCCCCCAACATCCCCATAACCCTTCACAGAATCACAGACTCATAGGGGTTGGAAGGGACCTCCGGAGATCATCGAGTCCAACCCCCTGCCAAAGCAGTTCCCTACAGCAGCTCATACAAGTAGGTGTCCAGGCGGGTCTTGAACATCTCCAGAGAAGGAGACTCCACCACCTCCCTGGGCAGCCTGTTCCAGCGCTGCCACCTCACCATACAGAAGTTCCTATGAAAAAACTTCCTATGCTGCAGTTTCTGTCCGCTTCCCCTCATCCTGTCTCCACACACTGCTGAAAACAGCCCAGCCTCGCCGCTCTGCCCCCCGCACCTCAGATATTTACAGACCTGGATCAGGTCCCCTCTCAGCCTTCTTTTCTCAAGGCTGAACAGACCCGGTTCACTCAGCCTTTCTCCATAGCAGAGATGCTCCAGGCCCTTCACCATCTTTGTGGCCCTCCGCTGGACTCTTTCCAAGAGGTCCCTGTCTTTTTCGTACTGGGGAGCCCAGAACTGGACGCAGTGCTCCAGATGAGGCCTTACCAGGGCGCAGTAGAGGGGGAGGATCACCTCCCTCGACCTCCTTGGCCACGCTCTTTTTAATGCTCCCCAGACCTCTGGGCCCTACAGGCCCCTATAACTTCCAGTTCTCCAGTCCCAGTAACCCCCTCAGTCCCCATCGCCCTCGCTCCCCGCCCCCTGCAGCCCCTCCCCGCGCTCACCGCCGGTACCGCTCCTCCTCGCTGTCCGCCATGACGCCGCGCCGCCGCCCCGCGTTTCAAACCTGACCCTTCCCGCCCTGCCCCGCACAGGAGAGCCGCGCTCGGCCAATCAGCGCCCGGGGGCGGGGCCGGGGCCCGAAAGCTCCCCGCGGTGCGCGCCGAGCGGTCCTCCTGCCGCAAGGGGGCGATGTTGCTCGGAGCGCCGCTCTCCGCCGGAGGGGCGGCGCGGGGTCGCCGGGAGACGGAGGCGCCGCCGCCGCCATGGAGCCGCCCGCCGCGGCCTGGGGCCTCGCCGAACGCACCGGGAGTCGCCCGGGGCCGGCGGGGAGGGGCCGGCCGGGCGGGGGGCGGTGCCGGCGGGGAGGGCAGGCGGCGGCGCGGGGTCTGCTCGGAGCTGAGGTGCGGGCGGGGCGACGGGAGCCGTGCGCGCTGAGCTTGGCCCAGCGGGGCGGCCGATACGGGTGAGTGCGGGGCGGCGGCGGGGCGGGACTGGGACCGAGCCGAGCCGAGCCGAGCCGTCCTGTTGTCTGTCGGTGTCTGTCTGTCCTGTCCGGTGTGCAGGGCTGGCCGGGGCAGGACGGCGTCCCTCGGGCGGTGGCGGTGCTGCTCCCGGCAGCGCTCATTGCTGCGCTATCGGCCGTGCGTCCGGGAAGGAGCCGGCCCGGCGATTTTACACGGCTTCGCTCTGTCTGCAGGGTCCTTATCCACTCACAAGAGAGAGAAAACTCGGAGCCGGATTACATTCCCATCAACGGCCGCTTTAAGTGCGTGCAAGGTACGGCCTCCTGCAGCGGGCTCTCTCGTGGCAGCCGGAATCCACTGCCGTTCGCTGGCAAAAACGGAATTTCGTGGTTTTTCTTGACCTCAGCCTCTGTGTAGACTGCGTGCTTCCACCAGAAGTAAAACTTGCGGTTTATGGGCTCCTGTGCCTTCCACACCTGAGTGGGGCCGCCTTGTCTCAGCAAACCTGCAGGGACCGTTCAAAAGCTCCCTAAGCTGCCAGCTCCAAAGAGCTGCACGTGGAGTAGGAAATAACTCGAGGTGTTGTCTAGGAGGAACTTAAATAGCAGTGGATGCCCTTTGGGGAAATGCTTGTTTATTTTAGTTTATAACCTTCTGTGTAATTTGGTGTAGTTCTGGCCATCATTTCTGCTGTGTAAGATAAGCTCTCGGGTTCATTGCCAGACTGGTGTTTCACAAAGGCCCTGTGCCTGTCCAGATATGTGAGAGCTCTGAATGTTAGCAGTCTCCTCTGTGACATTCTGATTGTCCGAGCCGTCCACATGTGCCGTTCTTTCTGCTGGAGCTGGTATTAGTAGCAGAGAGGTTTCTTCCTTTCCTAGGACTCCTGTGGCTAGAAGCAGGCAATGTGCTTTTTTGACTGTGTGCTTCCCACGGTGTTCAAGGTGAAGTCTCAGTGCTTTTTCTTTTCTCTTCCAGAGGCAGAAGAAACTCTGCTGATTGATATAGCTACAAACAGTAAGTTTTATAACTATGGACAGTTGTGTGTTAAGCTCCTTCCAGGAAACTGCCCTGTTTTGGGTGCTGATGAGTGCTGCTTTTACTTGCCTCTGTACGTAGTGTTGTTGGACCAGGCTGGAGTTGTATTTTGTCAAATGTTTTCTGGCTCTTATAGGCATCCGGTTGTCCAAATAAAAGTGTTGGCAATTGGTTAAACTTTAACTTCTTAAATCTCTTCTCAAGGCCCTGAATTGGCTTCAGAACCATTCTCATTTCCCTTCCATTTCTTTGACCTGACCCCTGGTTACTATCTGCCTTTAATACCATGCATATGACAACTCTCCCTACTCACTCATTCTGCTTTCCCTTTCAGTGCTTTCTTACTACTTTTAGAGCTCTTCTCTGTGAGGTAGCAGTGGGGAAAAGGTTTCCTAAAAACAGGAAAATGTGACTGGTGCTATCCCAAGTGGGATAAGCTCTGAAGTGCTGTGAAACTTGGTTAGGTGCACATTGCCATCGGAAGGAGTAGCTGGATGTTGCCTTCCCTTGCAGAGCTCAGAGGATATGTAGTAATTCTACTGGCTCTGAGGGTGTAACATCTGTCAGGCAGGTTTGACTGTGAGTTTGTGTTTATGTCTGAAGCAGGCTGCAAGATCCGGATACAAGGTGACAAGACAGCTGAGAGGCTCTTTGAAATCCCTGATGAGGAGCATTGCCTGGGGTTCCTCGCAGAAGTGCAGAGCATACAGGAAGGTAAGCAGAGCTGTCACTGTAATCCTGAAACCCTCAGGCCACCAGCAGTATCTGATAGGGCTCACTCTGTTTCCAGCTCAGTTAAAGGACTCTCTGCCTGGACATAAGGACTCAGACAGCTGGCATCAGATGGAGAAAAACCTCCCAAGTCTATTGCAGGCCTCTTCTCCAGGTATTGAAGTGGCTGTCACCTTTGCACTCTCTGTGGTGTGTGCAGAACTGGGCCCTTGGTGGCAAGGATGCTGCATTCGACACTGCCTTCTGACCCATTTCCTTTGCTCACCATATCCCATGCAAAACAAAACATCTTCATCATCTGAGCTGGCTCCTCTCAGTGCCTTGTTAAGTTCTGTTTTGCCTTGACCCTGTCCCTCACTCTCTGTGTTATCAGAGCTGGTGTATTGCTGTTATCACTTGCTCTTTCAATTCCCGAGGAGCTACGTTCCTTCCTTTCTTTGTTCTGAGCTGCATTAAATTGTGCTTGGCTTTTTCTTTACAGGAGCTCTGGGGTTTGAGGATGACTTCAATGCTCTAAGCCTAGAGAAGAAGAGAAACATGCAAAACCACCAAGCAGGCTCTCGCCGGGAACCCCCACCTCCTCCTGTGCCTCCAAGTAGGCAGTAAGTAGCATGGTGAATCTCTTCCCTTTTTTCCTTCTCTTCCTCGACAGCAGGACCAGTTTTAATTCTGCTCTTGCTTCCTTCTGAGGTTTCACCGAGAGAGAGAAGGGCCATCAAGAGACCAGCCAAAAGTAACCGACACCATGCGCAAAATGTTTTTACCCAGCAACCAGTCAGGACAAAGAGAAGGCCTCATCAAACACGTGCTTGGAAAGAGAGAGAAGGAATATGTCAACCTTGAGAACTTCAGGTTAGAGCTGTGACCAGGCAACACCGCGCAGAGAGAGTGACAGGACTTTGTAACCCCTTCAGTGAGCTCCAATCCAGGCCAGGTTTGAAATCTGGCAGCTGCTGATGCGTTGCCAGCTTGGGTGGCTAAACAGGGATTTGTGCAGACTGAAAGGGAAAGAAATGTCTGCAGTACAGCTTCTCCTTTTGCGTCATTTTCTTTATGAGTGTCAGATCTCTGGACCTTCAAGTAAGACTGAAAGCAATTGGCAGAAGGAGGAAAAAGGGAGCTGTCCCACAGCACAGCCTTAGCATCATCCCACACAACGTGATTTTAACAGAGCCAGATGTTTGCTGGCCCCAGTAAAATGTCTTTGTTTTTGTAGCATTCTGCAAAATTGGTGTCACTGAAGATGAGCCAAGCTAAGGAATATTTTCAGTTACCCCATAGTTGGCATTACCCTGTGCACGGATTGCTCGTGTGTTCCCTTCTCCCAGCCTGGATGCTGTTCTGTGTGCACTGGAAATACTGGGCTGGTGCACTGGTTATTGTGTTTTCTTACAGTTCAACTGCTTTTGTATTGTAGATTTTTTGTGGGAACGTGGAATGTGAATGGGCAGTCTCCAGACAGTGGCTTGGAACCCTGGCTGGCATGTGACACAGAGCCTCCCGACTTCTACTGCATTGGGTGAGAAGCAATTGCCTTGTATTTGCTTATGGTGCCAGGTTTGTGCTTGGTACTGGTGTACTGTGCTTATCTGAAGCTCCTGTCGTGCTCTCAGAGGTTCCACAAAGCTGAGCTATGTCTAAAGGAGAATTGCCCTTTGGTTGAGGTGGGCTATCAAGTTAAACGAGGGTTTACTGTGGTGTAGCAGAAGAGAGATTTTACTTGAGGTGTCTGCAGAGCTCCCTGGCTGTCCTCAATCAGAAGTCATACTTCCAGCAGAGAGGAGTTTCCTGGGCTGTATTGCAGTAGTGTCTCAGAGGCACTGCTGCTGCTTTAGGAAGAGAGAATGAGGTTTTTCTACCAAGAAGAGATATTCATGGAGGTTTCACGTTGGACCTTCCTGTAGCAAGAGAGTGATCTGTAGCACATTCCACTTCTGCTAAGTTGGCTTGGTTTTAGATTCCAGGAGCTGGACCTCAGCACGGAGGCTTTTTTCTA